TAAATAGATAAACTGAAAAAGGTTGCTGCGATATATTTTTTTTTGCCCACACCTTAAAATCATTCAAGACAGTTTGACGAGGGGCGGCTTTAGACATTTTTGAATTTCCATGGAGGCAACTGTAGTACTTACTTGGTGTGCTCTTGCTCTGTCACAATTTATTGTGTTTTGTCAAGAAATTTGAATTTCATTATTTTGTAGAAACCAAGGTACAATGGGGTTGAACAATTAAGCCTATTTTAATCCATGATTGACAAAAACATGCTGACATCCGGCCGAGGGGAAAAATAGTAAACAATAAAATATCTATCATAACTCATTGTAGCCTTGCACTGTGTTTTATGGGATAGAATAAAATAGATACTAATATCAGCGTTTACCTTCGCCATACTTTCCAAAAAAGAAATAAAATTCACATTCTTTTTAATTTTGTGCATTTTGTACACAAATACACATGATCCAATGTGTATTTTTTTTGTAGATGAAATCGCAACTTTACTTAATCCCAAACTTACTACTTGAAAGGAACAATACTGGACAATTTAAAGAAGGTCAACTTTCAACAAAGGTGTACTTAAAAACAGTGAATCATAAATCCAAAATGATTGAATGTCAATGTTTTTCGTGTAATTTGCATAACAATGTTAGTATTGTCAAAAACAGAAGATACAGCCATAGACCCTCTAAAAGAGATACAGCATACAGGAATGCTTAATGCAAACTTTATACTACATTGAATAAGTAACAAAAGTACTTCTGTGTTTCATATCAAAAACGTTTCCTACATTAGTTACAAACTGTTGCTATGTATACTGCAAGCATTCATTGCTGAAAAAAACACTCTGCCGTTCTGTAATTTCCTCAGTTTCATTATAACTTAATACGAATTAATGAAAAAGATATGAAAAATAAAGTTCTAATGAAATTTAATTCATAATACAATTCACTACCACCTACTGTTAGTAGCTACTTGTTTTTAGATTTTAATTTAGTTTAATAATTAGTCTGATTTATTTGAGAAAATGAGATATTGAAATAATTACATCAGATATTTTAGAAAAGGAACTGGCCAAAACAGGATGTGGGTGCAGCAAATCATATTTCACATTCAACAACATTTACTGTTGAGTTTATTGGTTAATTGACTTATCCAGAACTGATATTGTGGATTTATAACAATGTTTTAAGATTCACATTGTTTAATTGGCCAGCTGGAACATAATTAGACGTAGCCACTGAAAATATACTTTGGTAGCCCTCAGGGCAGCACAAATATATTCTCTGTTAATGTTTGCATTTGTGTGGTACTTAGTTTGCGCGGATTTGGAAAGATTTTATCCCTTTATCTGATTTTAAGTGTTGATAGTTACTTGAGGCTGATTCTGTGCATTCATGATGTAAGAGTAATGAGATAAGGTGACATGGGACCAATTGTACAGCTATGTATGTGCATACCAAAGGGCACACAGGTAATGATGGGTTACTGGTGACATTACAATGAGCTGCTGCTGTGATAACCGGTGAAAATAACATGAAGTGAGTTTGATGGGCATAAATCGAAGGGACTTGTTGTTCATACATACATATAGTGTTCATATTTGCATGTTCATAGATGGTGTTCAAATTTGTGTGTTCTTAGATGGTGTTAATACTCACATGTTCATAGTGTTCATATTCACATGTTCATAGATGGTGTTCAAATTTGTGTGTTCTTAGATGGTGTTCATACTCACATGTTCATAGTGTTCATATTCACATGTTCATAGATGGTGTTCATACTCACATATTTAGGGATGATGTTCATACTCATGTGTTCATAGATGGTGTTCACACTCACATTTTCATACATGTTCAAAATGGTGTTCATATTCATGTGTTCATAGATGGTGTTCATACTCACATATTTAGAGATGATGTTCATACTCATGTGTTCATAGATGGTGTTCATACTCACATTTTCATACATGTTCAAAATGGTGTTCATACTCATGTGTTCATAGATGGTGTTCATACTCACATTTTCATACATGTTCAAAGATGGTGTTCATATTCATGTGTTCGTAGATGGTGTTCATACTCACATGTTCATAGATGTTCATATTTATGTCTTCATAGATGGTGTTCTTACTCACATGTTCATACTTACATGTTCATAGATGGTGTTCGAACTCACATGTTCATACTTACATGTTCAAAGATGGTGTTTAAACACATTCATATGATGTTCATAGCATTCATACTCACACATTCATACGATAATGCTATCCAAACAGTATGGATTGATGTGCCAATTAGCAGACCATATTGACCCTATTAGAATCACATCCCCAACAGAACCATACATAAACCCAAAGTTGTATTTACAATGAATCATCAAAATGAGACTTAATATTTTGTGTGATCACCTCAGTCATTTTTTAATTCAAATATTATAACAAGAAAGAAGAGAATACTATTGAGGTAGAATTTATCATACAGCTTCACTGGTGATTATCTACCCTGTATTAGATCAGCAGTCACAGTATATGATACAGTACATGTTTTGCTCTAAGTAAAAAATTCCAAAATCCACCTTGAAAAAAAAAGTGCCTAGAGGAGGCATCACATGGCAAGGTATTCTACCAATATTGTATCAAACATTGAAACATTTTACACCCGCCATCCACTGATATAAGGTAGAAATATATAAGTAGGGATACTCAAAATGAACCTATGCATTCAGATAACTTTTCCTAAGTGCTAAGGCCATTTTATAAATATTGGCCTTGGAAATGGGTGCCCTCCCAACTCGGTAGTTCAAGCCCTGGTTGTAGATTTCTATATGTACTATGTATGATGCAAGTTTCTTAACATCTCTTTTGTATTTACTGGCACAGGTTTTTAAAAATTCATAATTTTGTTAAGTTTACATGCTTTTTTTCAGTACATATACATTAAATCTTACTATGTATGATGATAATGTTACCTTTCAACAGATGTATGCAACAATAACAAGGATATATTATATGAGTACGCAACTTTGATATCTACGTACCGTGTGATAGGCGATGTAGATCCCATTTCACGCGAATGCCTAGTGCATATCAATCAAACATATTTAAACCAATTGCATTACAGAACGAAGATCGCTTTTAAATCACATTTATAAAAATCATCTAGACTTATCGCCGCATTCAAAGCAGTGAAATAGAAGCTTTGCGAATAAACAAGGACGTTAGCATTACACCATGACACATTTGTCTTGCGATTTTATGATCATCTCGCAATTTGTGTGACCTGTATTTTGACCACATATCAAAAAAAAAGCACTGTATCACACCAGTTACATATCCTTATCTTATACATTCCTGGTAATATACAATACCCCAAAAGGTTAATGTATTTCAATTGATCATTTAAGTACATTGCACATCAATTTTGCTCTGGATCAATCAATTAGTAATACTATCTGAGAGCGTAACGTAATTCTCACAAAACATATAATTTTGATGATAATAATATACAAATAAAAACTTTAATTACCATTTACCGAAAAAAAAAAGATTTAAATAATAATATTAATATTTCTCATATAAGTTCTTGGCTATAGTTTTGGATGAAAAACACAAGAAAGATTCCCTTCTGCCTACTTACTGTATGACAACAATAAACAACTGTCTACTATGTTAATAACAGTGTGACAATGCTATGAGGGCACTTTACACTGTTCATCTCACTCACAGGTGTGAACAAAACTGTGAAAACAGACAAAGTGTGAAGGGAAGAAATTAACTGCATGACCTAAGCTGAACCTTACCACAAGTAAAATCTGTATATTAGCATAAGAATGAGCTATTTTAACTTCTTTGAGACGAATCGACTTTAATTAGGATTCTTTCTAAGAGAGAAAGGCACACAGTCGATTGCCAAAATGATATTCAACTCAACAACAACAACTCTGCATAGGCGCAACAGCGAACCATCTATCACACACAGCCTTTATACTATACATATATAGTTCCATGTTTTCAACAAACAAATCCACTGGACAAAGAGGGGAGGCCAACAAAAGGAGCGAATGCTGCCTGCCTGCTCTCGTTGTTTTGTTTGAGAACACAAAAATCAACTTATGTCCTTTAAAAGAAAAGAAAGAGATTTTGAAACAACAACTCTTCTGCCAGTGTAACAAGTATAAAAATTAACATAAATATGCATCTAACCCGATTTTTCTTGTTTTAATTTGAAAATGACGCATGTCAGAACAAATTCCTTTGCCCTCACAACAGTTTCTGTACAATGAATGGCCTGCTGAAGTAAAAATTGAAAGCCCTTCATAACACCGGCAACTACTGAACGAGACAAAAGGTTGTATTTTACCTTTATAGAATCCCCCTGCAATTCTCAATGCAGGGACTGTGAAGTCATGAAATGAAAAACAACCTGCGCTCTCTCCAACTACAGTCTCTATACCATTTCCAAATATACAACTTGAACTTGGACAAACTATCAAATTGCTACTCCCCTGGGGTGCAGTCAAGGTCACTCTTATCAACACTACCAGTGTACAGTTTATTTTTACAATGGTTTAAGTCAACATTGGCATGTTTTTATTTTTTCTGATGTTGATTTCAAGTGTTTGAAAAGTCGTCCGTACGGACACAAACTAACAGCATATGCACTATATTCTGTTCTGTTTCATTTAATTTCTATATATTGTTTTATATTATCATTATTTTCAGAGTTTCAGATTTAAATGATTATAACACTAAAGATTCAGTGCATTGGTAACTCGTATTAATCATTTCTCATGTCCGTTTCAAATGTGAAGTTTTATTTAAATATTTATTTTTAGACAAAAGTAACTGAGATAATTACACTTAAACACAAAATATTTACAGAATAAAATTAAATATTTAATAAAGTAAATAAATAAAATTTAATCTGTTTATTTTACTAATGGATATGTTAACTGAGATACGCTGTGTGGTTCAACTACAAACGTTATATGGAAACATACTTACAAATGAACGACTCTGCTACTAAGTGAGTTTTCCACTACAGGCAATGAGCTTAGAGAGCTATGTTGACAGTCGATGGCACAGAAATTCGACACGCCATTATTGTCTGGTGTTGTACTGCAGGTACAATTCTGGGGACATGGCACACAATCCTGTGAGCTGACAATACTAGCAGCCAGGAGCGCCAGTACGAAAGTCCATTTGAAAACACTATGCATGTGGACGCCATATTTGACAGAAGATACTGAGTGCATACTTTTCGGCCTTCAAGTTTCACGTGAATGGTGCCGCCGCAAGGCCACTGTTCACATCCACGACCACCATTCGCTAATGAAACGTTATTTTACACCATCGTCCATCTGATTGTATTGATTTTCGGATACCTCCATGACTAGAACTGGGGGAGAATGAGATTATAACGTGTCAGCAAGTACGATTGGAATGAATCGTACCGCCTCGTCAGATCGAACATAAGTGGGGTCGTACAGACACCGCACACGAGCGTATTCTGACTACACAGCGACATGGACACGAGTGATTGACAAACATTATCACATAAAACTAAGACAAATGCCAAATAAACTGAAATAATTACCTGATATGGGAGAAACATGGCGTATAAAAATAAAAGATCGCCCAGTAAACACGGTCCTATACGAGCTGCAAGTGTAATGGGGGAAATGGTCACGTGATTCAATTTATCAATAGTGCTTATACTCAGTAACTCCAGTCCATATCAACCGTTTATCACAGCTCCAGCCTAGCAACCGGCTGTCACAACATTTACACGCAATAATTATATAAATAGAGGTAAAATTCTCTGTAAGTAAAAACACGTCAGTCAACTTTGCCTGGTATTGAAATGTCATAGGGCGACAAAAAATGTAGCATCGCAATGCGATGGGCAATATATGAACAAGGGATACGCGTCCATTCACGCTCACGAAGAGGCTTTGTGTGGGGTTTTCCTATTCAGACATAGCAAACGCGGGGAAGCCCTCTCTTCGCATCGAAGACAATTTAGCCAGAAATTTAATAATCGGATAATTTCTACAATATACAAATTTTAGAAAGACATAGATATAAACATAAAACTCATCGTTATTATACTCGTTTAAAGAAAACTACGAGTAGCGATGGAAAATCAAGAAAAAATAATAATAAATAGTACTGATCGATTTATTTGGATTTTCAGCCCACAAGAAATTACTTGAGAAATCATATAATTATTCCTAATGATTTCCTTGAATAGTAAAAAATTAACACTAATCAATGAGCCAAACTCTCTGATTTATTTGTTCAACAAGTGTCTATTTTGTTGTTGTTGGTGGTGGTGATGATGATGATGATGATGATGATGATGATGATGATAGAATGAATTACGTCTCTTGTTGAACAGCCATTCCAACTAAATATGAAGTGACAATGTAGCCCAAACTTTCATAGTAAAGAACTTCTCGAGAATCATCTTGTGAAAAATTTGCGTTCAACTCCCATGAATAATAAAAATACAATATTTTTACAGAATTTACCATTTTCAAAAACAACACTAAAACTGTCCCAAGAACGTGAAAAACTTTAGATCATTCAATAATCACAACCATATGTTTGAGGAGTTTTTTTCAAATAGAACTACTGTGTTTAACACGTGGGTTCTTAAATTCAAAAATTCAAATTTGCTTGAAGAAATAAACTGTAATAAAACAAATGAAAGATGGGTTACTGTTATTATTACACTATGGAGTCGGTCATAAGTTTTGATAGTAGGTATAGAACACAGAACTGAAATAGGCAGAGACTATGTAGGTATGTTGATGTATGTAATGGTCAGTGTGTCCACCCAGCATCAGGTAGACCGATGGTTTGATTCTCATCACGGTTACTAGTGACCGCCCTAACATAATCGGCACATACTCAGCAATTGGGAAAATATAGTACTGTAAAATGACTAATTTTCACTGGGTTTAAATTTCACTGTTTTGGCATTTCAGACAATATTCAGTGGGTTTTAAATTCACGGTTTTATCATTTAGATAATGTGTTCTATGCTAAGTTCCACATATTCACTGGGTTTTAATTTAGCGCATTTTACAATCAGCGAAATAAGCATAATTAAAACCCAGTGAATAACTAACCTTTTTACAGTACATACTGCCCATTTGCAAATAAAATATTTTAAAATCCGTGTGCACATCAGAAGTGTCTCAACAGTCGTATTAATAATGTATTAGATAGAAAAAATATTGAAGATCATGCGTAACGTAATTTATGTATTGTTACAGTTACTGTATTGAAATGATATTATTGTATTAAAATGATATAGTCTCGGTTTTTTTCGTGCCTAACATGGATGAATGTCGTGCGTAACCTTAATTAATTAATTAATTAATTAATTCATTCATTCATTAATAATTCTCAAAATGTCACTTTACATAAAAGTAGTGGTTCCATAATCAAACAATGTGTCTCAGTTCTTAACATTAATTCCCACGTGTTAACTAATTAACCCGACCCCAAACAGATGATGGTAACAGTTTATTGAACGTATGTAAGAATTAGAAGTCGTGTTTATGACATGAAAAGAATAATCGCCTAACTCAAATAACTCAATTATTGTCTAGAAAACATGCATACAATTGGATACGTATGGTGCATAGAAATCGATGAACGTACATAATTATTTGAACAAAACACAAATTCTATTCTTTGCGAAAGCTTTTCAGAGCTGCATATTAACTCAACAATGTAGAACATTTGCAATATCATAATGGTGAACATGTATGTGTTTTAACGTCTGTTTTGGGATGAAAAATGATTTAGGTATACATTCGCGATCATAAGAAAAATTAAGGGTTTCAGTGTGACATTCCTGATCCATTCCCCTAAAAGACGTATCAAGGCACCGACACATTTTTTTTAACTGAAAATCGATATTTGTCTTTAAAAAGTAGACAAAACAAAGAGAAGGATTTTATAAATCAGAAAATCTTAATTCTTTTATAGTCATCTATTATATTCTATTATATTATAGATAGGATATATTTGCCTGGTTAATTTTGTGTGATTTGTGAATATCCAATTTTATACCTTCGTATGCTAATGATACCGCTTTTCAATGTATTCTCGTCCCAATATAATTTCGTTCCAACACAATTTCGTCCCAGTACAATTCCATCTGATCACCACCACATGGCATCATATACTAATAGTACAAATCGCAACTTTACGGACATGTGCAGGATAATAGTCAATTTTGATGTATGTGTGCAGGGTGTTGTGTCGATTTCGACATACTTCGGTAATGTGTTGTCGATGTCAACGTAATTGTGCAGGGTGTTATCGATTCCAACGTACGTGTGCAGTGTGGTGTCGATTTCAACGAACGTGTGCAGTGTGTTGTCCATTTCAAAGAACGTCTGCAGTGTGTTGTCGATTTCAACGAACGTGTGCAATGTGTTGTCGATGTCAATGTACATGTGCAGTGTGTTGTCAATTTCAACGAATGTGTGCAGTGTGTTGTTGATTTCAACGAACGTGTGCAGTGTGTTGTCGATTTCAACGTACGTGTGCAGTGTGTTGTCAATTTCAACGAACGTGTACAGTGTGTTGTTTATTTCAACGTACGTGTGCAGTGTATTGTCGATTTCAACGTACGTATGCAGTGTGTTGTCCATTTAAACGAACATGTGCAGTGTGTTGTCGATTTCAACGAACGTGTTCGGTGTGTTGTCCATTTCAACGAACGTGTGCAGGGTGTTGTCCATTTCAACGAACGTGTGCAATGTGTTGTCGATGGCAGCGTACTTGCGTAGTGTGTTGTCGATTTCAACAAACGTGTGCGGGTTGTTGTCAATTTCAACGAACGTGTGCAGTGTGTTGTTGATTTGAACGAACGTGTGCAGTGTATTGTCGATTTCAAAGAACGTGTGCAGTGTGTTGTCCATTTCACCGAACGTGCGCAGTGTGTTGTTGATTTCAACGAACGTGTGCAGTGTGTTGTCGATTTCAACGTACGTGTGCAGTGTGTTGTCAATTTCAACGAACGTGTTCGGTGTGTTGTCGATTTCAACGTACGTGTGCAAGGTGTTGTCGATTTTAACGTACGTGTGCAATGTGTTGTCAATTTTAAAGTACGTGTGCAAGGTGTTGTCCATTTTAAAGTACGTGTGCAAGGTGTTGTCCATTTTAAAGTACGTGTGCAAGGTGTTGTCGATTTCAAAGTACGTGTGCAAGGTGTTGTCGATTCAAAGTACGTGTGCAAGGTGTTGTCCATTTTAAAGTACGTGTGCAAGGTGTTGTCGATTTCAACGTACGTGTGCAGTGTGTTGTCGATTTCAACGTACGTGTGCAGTGTGTTGTCGATTTCAACGTACGTATGCAGTGTATTGTCGATTTCAACGTACGTATGCAGTGTGTTGTCCATTTAAACGAACATGTGCAGTGTGTTGTCGATTTCAACGAACGTGTTCGGTGTGTTGTCCATTTCAACGTACGTGTGCAAGGTGTTGTCGATTTCAACGTACGTATGCAGTGTGTTGTCCATTTAAACGAACATGTGCAGTGTGTTGTCGATGTCAACGTAATTGTGCAGGGTGTTATCGATTCCAACGTATGTGTGCAGTGTGGTGTCGATTTCAACGAACGTGTGCAGGGTGTTGTCCATTTCAACGAACGTGTGCAATGTGTTGTCGATGGCAGCGTACTTGCGTAGTGTGTTGTCGATTTCAACGTACGTGTGCAGTGTGTTGTCGATTTCAACGTACGTGTGCAGTGTGTTGTCGATTTCAACGTACGTGTGCAGTGTATTGTCGATTTCAACGTACGTATGCAGTGTGTTGTCCATTTAAACGAACATGTGCAGTGTGTTGTCGATTTCATCGAACGTGTTCGGTGTGTTGTTCATTTCAACGTACGTGTGCAAGGTGTT